TCAGTACAGCCTCTGAATAATACACACGTGAAGCCTGGGAGCTGCCCATGCAGAACACCCTGGTGACCAGGCAAGCCCATGCAGCAACAGAAGGAGAGGTCGCCACACTGCTGGCTTCCAGTCAATGGGTTGTCCTTCTCCCTCCTTCTGTACCCTTACTGGGAAGGACACCTCCAAAACAAAACGCATATGACATGGACCCAGGGTCACTTTTCCTTATGTCTACTGAGTTATCCCCAACACTTTTATTATTGAGTTGCTTTCTTCACGGAGAGGAAATGCTATCCTTTACACACATTAATTCCCAGATAAAATGGAACATGTTTGTAGATTACATATCGTTTTCTAATATACCATCTGGGTATGTTTTAATTACTGTAGGTTTAACATGTGTTTTAGTATCTAGTGTGATTAGCCCTCCTTGATTTTGGTTCTTCTTCAGAATTTTCTTGGTTATTCTTTCTCATGTGTCTTATCTAATTTTGATGACTTATCACTCCAAATTTATATTAAATGACAGTGATAAGAGTAGAAATCTTTGGTTAGTGAAAAAATACTGAAAATATTCCTTTCTTTAGTGAAAATATTATCTCATTTATTGATTCAGTAAGATTCTAGCTAATGAGATCAGTAGATCTATTTTATCATGTTAAAGAAATATTTATTCAGACCTATGTTATAAAGATTTTTTGATGAGAATAAATGTTGAATGTTTAACAAATGCCTTTTTAGTAACTATGGAAATACTCATGATTTTTCTCCCTAAATCTATTAATATAAAATATATTAATTAATAAAATATATTCATTGCTTTCCTACTACTGTTTTATTCTTACATTTCTGAAATAAATACCACTAATGTTTTTAATGTGCTACTGGCGTCTTTGATTATCTATGATTACATTGATTTATTTTCATTTTGGATTTTTGTGTGGATATGTAAGAGCTTTGCTTTTTATTTTTAATTAATTCTTAGAGTTTTATTATCAAGATTATGCTTGTTTTTTAAAAATACTTTATGGCATTCATTATTTTCTAATCCCCAAAGCAATTTAAATCACATTGGAAATGTTATTGAAAGGAGTGATACTTCCTCCTGGGAAAGTGCCTGACCACATGATTTACTAAAGGTAGTTCTTCCACAGGTTTAACACATGGAATAATTAACAACCTCTACAGCCATGCTAGTGTCATAATTTGAGTATCTGCTCTGCTCTGATATCTGGCAACTTGTCTCCTCCTTGTTATATTCTGTTTAGATTTCTCTCTCTTTCGACATAAATTTTCATTAATTAACTTTTCTGTAAAATTACAAATGTCATTCATTGCTTACAAATATTTGTATGTAATTAACCAAAATACCGGTGGAAAAAATAAAATGCATAAGTAAGGGTTAGAAGCATCTCTGGAGTGAAAAGGCACTGTCAAAACACATGAGGGAGATAAAGACAGATACAAAAAAGCCAGCATAATGCTCTGAAAACAAAGAGCTAAAAGATATTGAAAAGAAAATGGGAGAGCTAGAAATTGAGCAAAGAAGATCAACAGATGAGTGACACTCAATCATCCTGCCCTCAGGAATCCTTTACTTTTAAAAATTATTGACGAGCTCTAAGAGCTTTTGTTATATGGCTTATATGTAGCTCTGCTTACTGAGAATTTAAAAATTTATGTGTTCATTTTGAAATTACAATTATAAACTCATAGCATTTTTCAATAACATTTTTATGAAAATTTACTATATTTTCTGCAAATAAAAGTAGTAAGTAGAGTAGCATTATTTTACAAGAAGTTTTTAGAAGAATTGCTTTCAAATTCAATCTCTTACAATTAGTTGTTTTGGTTGAAGTCTAGGAATAAAACATTACCTCACAAAGTCATGCTTTTAAAAGAATAGAAGTATTTGTAAGGATTTTTCAGATAATTGTAAAAATTATTTGATACTATACCCAAATTTGACAATAGGTAGCTTCTTTTGATAATTTCCTTTATCACACAAATTACTGAAAGGATATGTATACAAAGGTCAAGATTTAATAAAAGTAATATTTCCCCCAGTTTTATCAATAACAGCATCAAGTAAAATTACCTTTCTTTTTTACTTTCTGCTACAAGCAAAGGATATAACGATATACTCCTACAATTTGGCGCCCACTCTCTTGGTTCAGGCTGAGGCTGCAGCAGTTTCCCCCCACCATGACATTTGACATCATTGCAAATGTCAACCCAGCGAAGAGGCAAATTACATCCTGAGACTATTATGAGAAAGTTTTAACCTAGGAAACTCCCTGCAAGGGTCCAGGGATTTCCCTCAACCAGCAATCTTCAGAACACACTTTGAGGCATATTACAGCATACACAAAATGTGGGGGTTCCCCAAAAAGAAAGAAATAATGAGACGCAAAGAATGTTAAAAGAATTAATTCAAGAGAACATTCCTTAAATAAAATAGTATTTGTATCTCCACAGTAA